GGGATTTGGCTTATCCCTTCCAAAAGATCAGCATTGTTTATATTCCAAATTCAGATAGCCTATTAGACTGCAACCATGTGTTTTATGAATATGGCACCTTTATACAGAATCGGGCCCTAGATAAGAAATCCCTAATAAGAAAGAAAGTACTCCTAATAGTGGTAGCAAGTGGCTTGAGATACGGGTTTACAGATGGCGGCAGTATCTGGCTTGAGATATGGATTAGGATGGGCTAGAGTAAAACTATCCGGAGTATGTCGAATGGTCAGAAAGAAAAACCCAAAGTTAAAGCAAAGCTTTACAATAAAGATATACAAATGTTGCATTTAGTATATAATTTTTTCAGCCTTGTACAGGTTATAATAGTGCACCTTTTGTCTTCTTTTTTTAAAATATATGTCATGATATCTTGTCCCTTTTTGTGTTTTTTCCATCTTCTTTTCTTTATAATGGAATCAGATTTAGAACATACTGTTTTTAATATGTTTTTTTTTTTTTTTTTCTTTTCTTTTCTAAATTTTGTTTTTCTTTGGTAAATTTGATATATAGTATTCCCTTATAAAAAAGTAAGAAATAAACTATTCTGCCTGGATCTAGGCAGAAAAAGTTTTCAAGAAGGGATGGGTAGTCATGATGGGCTAGTAGATCCCAGCCGATAAATTGTGGACTCTAAATCTGAGGTAGATTTAGATAAGCAAGGAGGTTGCTTCTGTTTTGGCATATCGCACATAGGTCCAAATAGAAACCAGGTGAATTGCACTTTAGTACAAAGCAGCATATCTGTAGTAGTAAATTCAAATGTAAAATTTGTAACATTTATATTTAATTGATAATCCGCCAGTCACCTGATGCATGATTATAGTATAACTTGATACAAATCACTATATAAATTATATAAGCAGAAAATGTAGAGATTTTTTGACAATTATTCAAAGAAAACTTTTTTCATACTATGTTTATCAACAAGGTCTATTAATTGAAAGTTGTAGAGCTCGCTAAGGTGCATCTAATAGTGGTTAAATCATCAAAATCGGCCTAGTGGTTCGCGAGATATCACTAAAAAACGATTGGCCGACTATATAAAATATGTAAATAATAATTTGTTTACATAGAGATTTTATATAGTTGGCCAATCGTTTTTTAGCGATATATCGCGAACCACTAGGCCGATTTTTATGATTTAACCACTATTAGATGTGCCCCAGCAAGCTCTACAACTTTTAATTAATCGACCTTGTCGATTAACTTAGTATGAAAAAAAGTTTTCTTTGAATAATTGTCAAAAAATCTCTATATTTTTTGCTTATGTAATTTATATAGTGATCTGTGTCATATTACACTATGATCATGCATCAGGTGACTGGCGGATCATCAATTAAGTAATAAAGTTGTGGTATGACTGCTTGTTTGTTTAAATTTATACAAAAAGTTATTAAGTAAAGATATCTTCAAGGCTTAAATAAAGTTGTAGAAAAGATAATTCTGAATCAAATAATGGTTAGATTATCAAAATCGGCCCAGTGGTTTTTGAGATATCTTGGGTTAAAGACATAAACATAAGGATTGGCAAAGTCACTATTACACAAAATATTAATTTTGTTAATCTTTATGTTTAGATCTTTAATCCCACATATCTCAATAACTACTGGCCTGATTTTGATGATCTAACCACCATTTGACTTAGAATTATCCCTTTTACAACTTTACTTAGAGCTTGAAGATATCTTTACTTAATAACTTCTTGTATAAATTTAAAGAAACTATAATTGGACCTACTTCGGATTTAATGTAACCTACTTTGGGATCAAAATATACAAAAAGTAGTTTTTTGTAATTATTTTGACAACCAGCAATTCAATCTGGATGAATTTTTTTTAAATAAAAGCTCTCAGTGAGGCACATCCAATAAAAAAGAGTTTATTTGATTCTAATTACTAGACTCTAAAATATTTAAAAAACAATAAACTTTTAGTTTTAATAAATTAAATTAAAATTAAGCAAAACCAAATTATAATCTAGAAAATTACTATTTGTACACCCATATATAAAACACAGGTATATTGATAACTCAAAATTTTGTCTATAAAACCACTTTTCAAGTTCTAACAAAAAAAAATCTATACAAAATTTTAGTATAAGCTACTCCTAACCCTAATCTCTAACCTAACCTTATCTTAACTTTAATTTAATTTAATTTTTTCTTTAAATTTTGTATTAAATTTTTTTATAAATTATACCTGTGTTTCATACACAGGATAAATTTATAAATTTTCTATAATCTATATTAGAGATAAATTAATTTGCTTTAGATTTAAATTTTTATTTTATTTTATATTAAATCTTTTTTGTATATCATACAAGTTTATAGCTTAATAATTATAAAAGTTTTACTATACAGTATATTTATTTTATTTTAAATTATATTTAAAAATTTTATAAGTTTATTCCTATACATTATTGCACGGGTTTACAACTAGTTAAATAATAAATTTTAACCATCAGAAATATGTTGAATATTAGTAGATGTAGAGCCAAATGATTTGCAAGATTGCACAACAACTTGCTTTGCATCTGTTTGAATTATAGTATCAGCTATTATAGCTAAAAATTCTCGCTCTCTTTTAGCAACTACTTTTTCTAATTTGTCTTGTTTATTAGCTAGCATTTTGTATATAATATGTAAAAATAATAAAGAATATAAAATAAAAAATAAAATAAAAAATAAAAAAAAAGTAAAATAAAAAAAAAAAGTGAAAGAAAGAAAAATAAAAAATAAAATAAATTCGAAATAGTGCGAAATAAATAATAATATATGGGAAATAGAGAGAATAAAATAAAATGAAGATAAAAGCTTATAGAAAGGCAAAGGAGTAAAAATAAAATAAATTAATAATTAGATAAAAGACAGATAGTTTTGGATTTAACAAAAAAATTAAAGAGTAGTAAGTAAGATAAATATAGTGAATATAAGATTAATTAGAAAATTACGAAGAGGAAGAAGGCTAAGGTGGGGTTTATTTAAATCTTTTTTAAAATTATTTTAATGTAATTGAATTAACTTGCAATACGGCGAGACGATATTAAAATTTATTAACTTTGATTATTTTTAAATATATACGATTTATCTAATATAATCAGTTTATTATTTTATATTCGTTATTTAAGATAAAATATTTTTTCTTTATTAAATTATATCAAATTTATTATATTAAAGGATTTTATAATTTATTGCTATGGCGTTATATTGCTAGTCTCTATAAGTCACGTGGCTATAGTAATAATGTATAGGATCAGCAGTTTGTATTACATAGAATCGGCAGTTTGTATTATATAGAATCGGCAGTTTGTATTATATAGAATCGGCAGTTTGTATTACATAGAATTGGCAGTTTGTATTACATAGGATCGGCAGTTTATGTTCCATAGGATCGTGTCATATTATTTAATTGTGTAATGTTACTCAACATAAAGTTTGAACCGGTTTTATTTTTTATATGTTAAACCTGAGTTTAATTGGTTTTAACATATGAAAAATAAAACCGGTTCTAAACTTTAACTCAACAGATTAAATTAAAGGTAGGAGTTAGTATATACTATTATATATTATAATGAAGAGCGACACATAATAAACACACAATGTAGTATCAACCGCTAAAAGTTTTTATAACAAGTATACTAATTCACTAAAAGTAAGCTAAAAATAGTGAAGATTTATAGTAAGAAAATCATAACTGATACTTTACAATAAAAGAGAAAATAGATGCTTCGCTTTTTAATATGAAAGATATACATTCTAGAACCTACTCTATTATATCAGAGGTATATCACAGGTTGAATCAATGAATAACGAGTACATATCGGGAGACAAATCTCCCGATATGTACCCATTATTCTACCATAGATCCGCCAAATAACTGTAGCATATTGGTTAAATATCGGAAGATAAATTGCTAATGGTAACATAACAGTAACATACCGGGACATCCTGGTATCTTACTCTTAGTCCAAATAGTGCTAAGAGGAAAATACCGGGATGTCCCAGTATATTACTATCATATTACAATTATTGATCTAACTCGCAGATCTATAATAGAATAATGGGTATATATTGGGAGATTTGTCTTCCGATATATACCCATTATTCAACAGGAGAGAACGTTGTTGTTACTCGACTGATTTTACACACAGTGTGAAACATATAAAAAAATGATTTTACAATACTTGATCAGACTTGATCAGTCAGCTAGTACATGTTATGATTAGAATCCTACACCATTTTTTATAATTAAAAATGGTGTGGGATTCTAATCATAACATGTACTAGCTGACTGATCAAGTCCGATCAAGTATTGTAAAATCATTTTTTTATGTGTTTCACACCGTGTGTAAAATCAGTCGAGTAACAACAACGTTCTCTCCTGTTCCATTATTCATTGATTTAACCTGTGTATACTATGTTAACTAGTAATGTAAACCAAACCCAAACAATTTGTGACTTTACCTAATTTGGAGTTTGGGAATTTTCTCTTGCATTGCTAAACAATTTGTCTTGATTTACGCTATACTGTATATAAGATTACAACTATGATACTATTATCGAATCTAGTAAAAACTTTTGTTTACATTGCTAATACGTATTAATTCGTTAATATGCATATTGTCTCAATATGGTAGGCTTAAACAATTACAATACTGGCGCAATTCCTTAAAATTACTAATCATACATACATACGTTCATATGCAAGAGACTAATCACAACTAACAATTTCAGCTAATTAAAGTATAACAATTAACATGACGATATAATCACTATATAATGGGCATTTGCTTTATATAAAGTTTATACTCTAAATGAAGCCAAAACACTACATATAATTTGTCAAAATAAAGCACATATACTAGTAAATGAATAAAATAAAGCTATACAATATATCCACTATTGATAACAACTTTAAATGTATACAAATAATATTTCGTTAGCTTTTAAGCACATAATTAGATCAACATTTTATATCAACAAAATTAAGTACTTTGCAATTCTTCTGGTAATGGCCCAAACCATCACACTTCTTGCACCGACATTGATTTGCCGTAGGTTTTGATACTTCATGTGCTGATTTTAAACATTTGGTACCTTTGGGATGACCTCTACCATGGTAAATTTTTGGGTTGAGAATCATAGGATCACTATTTTCTTTTTCATCATCCAGATTATTAATTTCTTGCGAATCATTTGATTCGAATTCATTATCTTCAACAAAATCCTCAAGCAGTTCGATTAAATTTTGTGATTTTGTTTTATTCTGCAATACTTTATGAAGGGCCCTTTTGTATGTGCCATGAATATTTCCATACATCATTTTTTGTTCAAGAGTTGTCAAATTTTCTGCTCGGAAAACAGACTTCTCTTGTTTAATATACAAATACAGAACTGGAAAATCAGATACTTTTGGTACTTCTATAGAAAACTTGTTTGCCACTATAAATGGCTCCTCTGTGCCAATTTCTTTTGTACTGTACCAACGTGAAGGCAGTATCCGAATGTGAAACTTTGCATTATTTGTACTTAACATTATCTGAAAATAATGCCAATATACTATACCACATCGTATAATAGATAAACAAGAACATAGATATGACCGATTCTTTAATAACAAAACATAATACTTTATTTTTGTTGAATTTCCAGCACAAATAGCCCAAGTCTCCTGGATATTGTTCAAGCCGGCAAATTCAATCAGTTGATTAAAACTAGTTTGCATATCATCGCTGTCAAATTCTTTATAAGAATCGTTAGAATCATCATCCTATTAAAAACAACCTTAATATACTATACCATATTTATTCAAAATTCAAAAAAATAATAATTAGACCTTCACTTCACTAGAATGCATAGGATCTTTAATTATATTTGACATATAATAAACTGACTGGTTAATTTCATTACGTTGCATTTGTAAAATGGTTGGCGTAAAGAACTTTTGAATACACTTGTCAACATTAGTAAACAAAAAGTTCACTTTATTCTGATTTTTCACGTTTGGAATCGAGAGTTTCCAAAATTTATATTCGTTCTCTCTATCCTGAATATCCAAAAGCCTAGTAATCTCAGTTAAAAGGTCACATAAAGAGACATTTGAACTATGTAATAAATGTTTCAGGCATGCATTTACTGATTTAACTCATGATGTAGCAATCATTCCTCCGGTAAACTTGAAACATGTAAAACAATGAGCCCAATAAGCTTTCGATTTAAAAAGAAACTCTAAATAACTTTTAGCACTAGAATAATCTTGAGTAAGTTTATTAAACTGTTGATGAAAGAAATTTTCAAAGAAACTATTACGGCAAATATAGAAGTCTTTAAGAAAGTTTTGGTATATATTGCCTAGCAGCTTTTTGAGATTTTTATGTAGATTTTGTGTTAAATGATAAGCACAATGAATCGGATATGTCATAGTAAATACTTGACGAACCGCAGCATTAACTGCTGGATCGGCGTCAGTAAGAATAACAGCTGGATAAACATTTGTAGCTTTAACGATTTCTGTAAAAGCCCACTTATGTGAGCCAACACTTTCATCACAAAGAAGTGCTTGCGCTAATAAAATGTTTTTGCGATTATTGTCAAACCCAACAAACAACAACAACGCCATTTCATAACGATTAGTCTTGTGGGTAACATCATGTAAAATACAGTCTGAGTATTGAATCCAATTTTCAACTTGACCCGGCGTCATCCATAGTAAATGCGTTAATGTATTGTCTTCATCAAACTTATGTGCAACAACCCAATGAGAATCTATATCTTTTTTCTGATCAAGCCAGTTGGAAACCTATAAAGTAATATATCAAACCTAATTCATATTATTTGCTTATATATAATAATAGACTAGATCATACCTTTGCCGCATCATTTAGTAATGATTTGTTAGTAGGACGAAATTTTTGGATTGCAGAATACAGGTCTTTTGAGCATATTGTTTGTGTTGAATACTTGCTTTCTAGGAACTTTCTTTGTACAGTTGCTCCAAATTTGCAATTTTTAGTTATAAATTTTATATCAGCCAGCATTTTAGCAGTAAATTGTTTTTCATCTTTAAACATAATTCTACTTGGGTTCAATAGATGGTTATGAGTATCACCTATCTTGTTAATAAATATAAAACATTCTATATTGTTAATTTTAGAGCATGAGGTATTGACAAGATAAAGACATTGTGTCTTTTTAGTAACTGTATCTTTTTTCAGTATTCGATTCATAAAAGCCTCTATGATCACATAAATAAGTTCTTTGACGAAGAACTTCATTTTCCCAAGTAATACGACCTTTAATAAAACGAAATCCCTTATCCCTTGCCCATTTATTGAGGAATAACTCGCATTTATCCCATGTACCAAATTTTTTTCCAGAAAATAAGGATGATGATTCTATTTCATTTTGTGACATCATATCATCATGGCTCTCTATTAATAACAAAATAAACAATATTAATACATCAATGTCATATTTAACAATGTCCTTATTATTTATGACAAACTCTTAACAAACCTATTTCAAATTCAGAATTCATGGCTCCTTCATTCATAAAATCATTTGAAGCTTCACCTGTAAAATATTCTTGATCTTCATTCTCTTCATTTATAACAAGGAAATCTTTCAGTTTTTCATTTACAGTCAAAAAATTATCCATGTTTTCATCCATAGCGAAACATAAACGACAACCCAAAAAAAACTAGTTTGTAATATGAGCATCAGAAAAAGAGTTATGATCGAAGTAAGAAAGTTTACAACATTTATTATACTTACAAGCAAAAAGCACTGGTATGATTGAAGTCAGCTTTGGATGGAGCAAAACCTGAAGGTTATTGATATACTATTGAAATAAAGAACATCAGAAAATTGAGTTATGATCGAAGTAAGAAAGTTCACAACACTTATTATACTTACAAGCAAAAGGCACTGGTATTATCAAAGTCGGCTTTGGGTAGAGCAAAACCTGATGTACTATCGAAATAAAGAACATCAGAAAAAGAGTTATGATCGAAGTATGAAAGTTCACAACACTTATTATACTTACAAGCTTAACAAAACCACACACTTGCAGTTACGAACGAAACCACACACTAGTACTTCAACGAAGTCACGGCCAAAACCACGACAACCTAAAAAAAACTAGTTTGTAATATGAGCATCAGAAAAAGAGTTATGATCGAAGTATGAAAGTTCATAATACTTATTATACTTACAAGAAAAAGGTACTGGTATGATTGAAGTCGGCTTTGGGTAGAGCAAAACCTGAAGGTTATTGATGTACTATCGAAATAAAGTATATCAGAAAATTGAGTTATGATCAAAGTAAGAAAGTTCACAACACTTATTATACTTACAAGCAAAAGGTACTGGTATGATCGAAGTCGGCTTTGGGTGAAGCAAAACCTGAAGGTTATTGATGTACTATCGAAATAAAGAACATCAGAAAAAGAATTATGATCGAAGTATGAAAGTTCACAACACTTATTATACTTACAAGCTTAACGAAACCACACACTTGCAGTTACGAACGAAACCACACACTAGTACTTTAACGAAGTCATAGCCAAAACCACGACAACCTAAAAAAAACTAGTTTGTAATATGAGTATTAGAAAAAGAGTTATGATCGAAGTATGAAAGTTCATAATACTTATTGTACTTACAAGAAAAAGGCACTGGTATGATCGAAGTTAGCTTTGGGTGGAGCAAAACCTGAAGGTTATTGATGTACTATCGAAATAAAGAACATCAGAAAATTGAGTTATGATCAAAGTAAGAAAGTTCACAACACTTATTATACTTACAAGCAAAAGGTACTGGTATGATCGAAGTCGGCTTTGGGTAGAGCAAAACCTGAAGGTTATTGATGTACTATCGAAATAAAGAACATTAGAAAAAGAGTTATGATCGAAGTATGAAAGTTCACAACACTTATTATACTTACAAGCTTAACGAAACCACACACTTGCAGCTACGAATGAAACCACACACTAGTACTTCAATGAAGTCACGGACGAAACCCACACTTGCACTTCAACGAAGTCATGGACAAAACCCACACTTGCACTTCAACGAAGTTATGGACGAAACCCACACTTGCATTTCAACAAACTCACAGACGAAAACACACACTTGCACTTCAACAAACTCACGGACAAAACTACACACACAGACAAAACCACACATAGACAAAACTACACACATACACAGACGAAACCACACACTTGCACTTCAATGAACTCACAGAGGCTTTAGCCTAAAATTACCATGGCTATCCAAATAGTACTTGTACTATCAAATTGACGTTTTACACCTGCTGAAATAAAGAATGTTAGAAAAGAAATATGAACGAAATCAGACACTCATCACTAAGTTCTACTTACAAGAGAATGGGTACCGGTATAATCAAAATTGTTTAAGTAAAGCTTTATAGCTTTCTAGTGAAACTTTAAAGCAGTAAAGGTTTAGCAAAACTCTTAGTCATTATCGTCAAGTAAAATTCGAATGCTAATGCTACAAATGTGGTAAGTAATTTAGACCCTTACTTTTGTATAACTTTACTTAATAAATTACACAACTCCTTATTACTACTTCTCTCCTCTACACCTTTGGTTATACTCTTATATAAAAAAGATACTTTCAATAAGGGTAAGTATAAGTAAAACGACAAAAACTATTTTTGTATTTAAAGTAGTACAGAATTTGTAGCAATCACATGACTTATAGGGTATAGGGGGTATGTGTTATAGCGCATATGCAAAAAATTAAAAAATTCTATATTAAATACATTTGGCATATATCGATTTATTGTAATTTTAATTGCTGTCATACTCTATAACTAATCTTAATAATTTCTGATAGTTGGTGAGCTGCAAGCGATCTTTAAACTTACTTCACACTTTAGAGAAGCAACTAGTAGAAGCAACACTGCATGAATTAAAAAATGTAGAGAACTTGGAGGAAATTAAAGAAGAGGTTCTAATAATGCTAGAAAAGGATCCCAAGTTGATGAAATATGCAGAAGAGAAAGATGAATTAGAGGCTTAATCACAAAAGAAGACTTCGAAGAGTTGAGATCTTTTTTTGATTCGAATAGCCAAACAAAGTGATTTTTAAGAAGATTCTGGAAGAATTGGATGAAAGAAGTATACGAAAGAATTTGGGTTCCAAGATGCAAATTAGTACAAGAATGGGATAAGGAAAATGGAATTGTGCCAAAAGATAAAAGAAGATTTCATGAAAAGACAAGAAAGAAGAAAAAGAAGAAGAAGGAACCACCAGATGTGCATATTATTAAAAGAAAGAAAGATGAAAACAAGAGTAAAAGGTGGTTGTCAGTTCTAGAAATAACTAAGAAAGAAG